GCCGCACCAGAGGCCGGAGAAGGACACGAGGCCGTGAGCCCGGTTCCTGCACACCAGGGGCCCCCCGGAGTCGGCCTGGAGTCAAAGGAGAGGTGAGGTCAGGGCCTCTGGGAGCTGCGGCAGGCACATCTCACCACCGCCCTCCCTGCCTCAGAACCCTCTGTGACTCCCTACTGCTCTCCAGGGAAAAAGTAAACTCATCTCTGCCATCCAGGCCCTGAGGACCCGGCCCCCACCCACTTCTCTGCCCACCTTCCTCCGCCAGCCTCCTCGGTGCTCCAGCCTTTGCACAGCCTGGAGGCCTGTTCCTGGCCTGTGCTGGATGCTACGTGTGTAAACATTCGAGTCTGCAGTGCTCTGGGCAGTGCACAACCTGCACAGCTATATGCGGCCGCCCTCCAGTAATGGGTCTCTCTGCCTTGCATGAGTTTCCTCCAGTCTTCTAAGGATTCCTTCAAGTCTCAGCTCAAAGGTGCTCTCCTTGGAGAGGGCTCCCCGAATACTCACCCTAAAATCCCTCATCCTACCCTCCTAACTGCCATCTGGAATCCACTCTGGACCAGAAACTATTCGGGTGGCAGTTTCACAGATGGAGAAGAAGAGGCCCAGAGAAATCAAGTGACTTTTCCAAGGTCACACACTGGGAAAGTGGACAGTCTCGTTTCTCCTGGGCTTGGGCTGCCGGGCTCCAGAGTGTGTGTCCTGAGCCAAATCGCCCTCTTGCCTGCAAAAGACCTTCCAGGCCCCGTGTCTCCCTTAGCACCAGGGGATTCGTTTATCTGACAAGATTTTAGGAGTGGGAGCTGCTTCCTCTCAATCTGTTACTTCCCTCTACTGAACACTGCTTGTGCAAATACACAAGTGTGTGGCTCTTTGTGCAGTGCACAACCTGCGCAACTGAACATGACAGCCCTGCATGACCCTTGCCAACTCCCTGCCTTTCCTGGGCCTCAACTTCTCCATCTGGTCCAATATCAATGGGACTCAGTTCCCAAGGCCCTTCCTGGCCCTGACTGTCTCTGTGGGCCTTGGTTTCCCATACAGTAAGTGGGTGGAGCGGGGAGGGGATCTTACCGAGCAGAAGCCTCGCCTGTGCCTGTCCCCACTGCGGGTGCAGAGCATCGTATGGCTCAGGTGGCCCTTCCAGGAGCTGTTGCAGACGTCCAGGTCCAGCACTCGGACCTCGGCCTCCATCAGTCCAGGCGGCAGATCCTCAAAGTCAGACACGAAGCCCCAGCCAGCGACCCGGCACCGTGTCCCGGCTGTGGGGGGCCCGGCCCGTCTCCCTGGCAGCCTCAGCAGCCCCACTGCAGGGCCCAGGACAGCAGAGCCGTTCAGCTGCAGGGAAAGCATGAGTTCAGGCCACCAGGCTCCCTCCCCACCCCTGCTCCTGCCTCAGTTTATCCATGGGACCCCTGGTTCTGCCCTTGTGAAGCGAAATCAATGGTGGCCACCATGAGGCCGGGTCAGGAGGCCCTGTTCCTTCTGCCAACATAAACCCCTACCCCGTGGGTCTCCAGTGTCACCGTCAGTTGCCCAAAGGGTCTTTCTTTTTTTCTTTTTTTTTGAGAAAGAGTCTGACTCTGTTGTCTAGGCTGGACTGTAGTGGCGTGATCTCAGCTCACTGCAACCTCCGCCTCCCGGGTTCAACCCATTCTCCTGCCTCGGCCTCCCAAGTAGCTGGGATTACAGGCGTGCACCACCACACCTGGCTAATTTTGGTATTTTAGTAGGAATGGGGTTTCACCACGTTGGCCAGGCTGGTCTCCAACTCCTGACCTCAGGTGATCCACCCGCCTCGGCCTCCCAAAGTGCTGGGATTACAGAGTGAGCCACCGTGCCCGGTCTCAAAGAGTCTTTCAAACCCCATCTCCTTCCTTGCTCTAAGCCCTCCCTTGGCTCCCCAGTGCCCTCAGGACAAAACCTCTTTGCTCACCAGCCAGGGCCTCTGAGGGCTCTCCAGCCTCAGCCTCCCCTCTGGCCGGACAGGATGAATTTACAGCCACTCCCTGGGCCTGCCACGCACCTCTGCTCACACCGGACCCCCAGCCTGGACCCTTTTCCTGTTCAGCCTCCACATCTCAGCACGGATGCCACCTGTCCCAGGAAGTCTTCCCAGATTGCCAGGCTAGGACATGAGTCTCCTCTGGGCTCCCTGCAGCCCGTCAAGGCTGGTTTATCAAGTGAAGATTGTGTGACACTCTGGGCTCTGCATGGCCCAGCACCGGGCCTCTGGCCCTGGCCCTGGCCCTGGCCCTGGCCCTGGCACCCGGCACGTGGCTGATACTCAGTTAACAGGCCTGGGAAGGATGCTTTAATCCCTGGCTCTGGTTCTCTGAAACTCGTGCATCTTGGGTATATCCCTGAGATTCCTGATGTCTCCCCCAGCCTCAGTTTCCCCATCTGTACAATGGCCTGGGTGAACCAGAGCAGGTTCCAGGCTTCAGGGTTTCACGGATGAGAAAAATTCACCCAAAAGCTTTGGCCACTGGCGCTTGCTGCCTCCTTTTATCTTATTTTTTCTCAGACGGAGTCTCGCTCTGTCGCCCGGGCTGGAGTGCAGTGGCTCGATCTTGGCTCGCTGCAAGCTCCGCCTCCCGGGCTCACATCATTCTCCTGCCTCAGCCGAGTAGCTGGGACTACAGGCGCCCGCCACCTCGCCCGGCTAATTTTTTTTGTATCTTCTGTAGAGACGGGGTTTCACCGTGTTAGCCAGGATGGTCTTGATCTCCTGACCTCGTGATCCGCCCGCCTCAGCCTCCCAAAGTGCTGGGATTACAGGCATGAGCCACTGCACCCGGCGGTGAAACCTTATTTCTACCAAAAATATAAAAATTAG